ATCTGCTCAAAAATTTTCAGATCTTGCACATTGGAGTGCAGCTTGCAAGCGTGAGGAGAACACTTTTCAACGGAAGTGAACGTCAAACTTACCTCGAACACGTTGTAGCCGGTGTAAAAAAGGTCATCGAGAATCCTGACAAATTGACAGAGCAGGTAGCCATTCAAATATCCTCAGCTATCTTTCTCTTCTTTTTGTTTCTTCTGCTAATGGTTCTTATATGTTAAGTTCTCGTGTGAGACATGCTGTTTTTGTTTCTTGAGAAATGGAGATTCATGTGCTTGGTGAAAGAAATGAAAGATTTTATGGGGAAGTGATTACCAAGATTTATTTGCAGCCTGCGTTCCATGAATTCTGTCGGATGGTATCACGATTGAAGACGAACTTCCAGCTTTGTGAACTCATAAAAGTCCCAGATTACGCTGCTCTTATGCGGCTTTTGGCACAATTTACTGTGGAAAGCTTGAGGGTATGTTGGTTCTTGTCACTCTCATCTGCTTTGCTGTGCGTCTCAAGCTTTTCTATGGGCAGATGATGGATCTTTCGGCGAATAGCACATACTTTCTGCTTACTTTCTGGCAAAGAATGGTGACATCGGTACCCTATGTGAGGAGTAGTGAGGATCACTTGCTGAATTTATACTGTCCTGAAATCATGACGGCATTCGTGGAAAGTCGATTGCAAAATGTTGAACGAGTTGTGAAGTGAGTAGTACAATTTTGATTGAATAAGTGCGAGTTCGTTTTATGTGAATAGGTTTGCATAACAATCTTTCAGAGATGGCCACGATGATCCACTGGAAGATCAAGGTTCCACATTGCAAATTATGGAACACTTGGCCATCATCTGCCGATGCGAATACGAGAAAACTGCTCGGCTTCTGGCAAATGCTTTTGACGAAAATGCTAGGATACTGGAAGCGGGACCGGAAGGGGTATGTTTTTGGTATCATAGATGAATATTTTAGTCATGTTCTAACAATTTTGTTTTCCTGCCTTGTCATCGCAGTCTTGCGGCCTGGTTCATTGTATTTCTAGATATTATAGGACCTTCGGGTTCGCATCGCCGAAGGGCGTCTTGTATGGCTTGTCACGCTAATTGGTACGGCTGTATTTGGAAAAACTGCAGTTTCCAACAATGAAGAACATGATAAAATGGACGGAGATTTAGTGGCGAGGTATATTGAGATACTCTCATACTCGAAATATCCATTCTTTGGTCTTCTCTTTTTACATCTAAATTGTCTTTTAGATGCTTGAAATTTATGCGAATAAACGATAATAGATTGATTTTCCCTGCTAATGTCAACGCCAACCCTGGAAAGGGAAATGTTCGCTTAGAGGTGGCTTTCATCCATCTTTTGGAGCAATTTCGTCGTGCATATATTATGGACCAGGTTCGTTTTGGCTGGACTCTTTTGAAATATCACATCGCATGTTTTAGATCACCAAGTCGAGCCCAGTATATGATAAGTTGAATACGGAACTAGGAGTATCTGACGAAACCGACATGCTCAGCGTGATCGTGCAGAAAATGTTGGTGGTTTCGTCCTGACAAGCTCATTTGCACTTCTGTTTTTCAGCCTTACCAACCTGAAATTTTGGGCTACTAATGAGCAAATCCTGGAACTATCTTTATCGCTTTTGAAAGATCTTTCACTTGGTTATACTGCAGTCCGTAAACTGTTTCGTCTTCAAGAAGTACAGCTTCTCCTGAGCAATCACACGGTAAGCTTTATGCTTTTTGCCTCTCGAATTATTCAACGAATTTATCGCAGGCAGAGCACTTCGTTTTTCTTGGACAGTCGGTACCATATTCAACGATGAAGCACAGAACTGTCTTTTATGAGGCTCTCACTCGGCTGCTCACTATTGATTTAAACGATGATGAACAGTTATTTGATCAATTTATGCAACCATTAGCAGGTACTTTTTATTTATTTTTTATACTTGTTATTTTTTATTTTCTATTCATTCATACGTTTTATATTTATTTTGTTTTTGTTTTTTCTGTTTATTTTGTTTATGATTTATTATTATTATTATGTTTCCAAACAAGAATTTCTAGCAACAAAGCGTGAACTTACTGCTATAATGACAACCCAAAACTACAACGGCGGAGTCTCTCAGGATGAGCTTCAGGTATTTTTTTATTAGTTTTCCTTGGGATTTCTCAGTACACCGCTCATGCTTTCAGAGGGTAGTGGTAGGACTTTGTCGTGACCTGCGTGGAGTTGCTGTTGCTTGTACTACGAAGAATCTCTTTCAAATTCTGTTCGATTGGCTTTACCCAGATGTTTTCAATATCATGCTGCGTGCTGTAGAAGAATGGTCATCTTATCCACAGGTAACCGTCGTTGTTTTTATCTGCTGATACCAGTGTCTGATTTCTCTCACAAGAAGCGTGTTCAGTCGAAGTGGGTGACCTTTCAATTGAGTTCTGTACCACTTTGAAGAGCATTGAACGCTGATTTCAAATCTTTTATTATGTGCCAAGCGCTTCTAGACGCCGATTTAAGAGTGTTTTTTGAAGCAAAATCTATATAAAAGAGATAGTTACTATCTTTACGGCTTTCAATAGAGCAATGTTGAGTGTAAGGGTATCGAATAAAAGGTATTCATTAAGTGCTCTGCTAATTATCATCTGAGCATTTGAGCAAGTCTGGGTGGCGAGCGAGAGGAACGATAGCCGGTGGCTGTCAATAATCAGCGTATTTTTTACCCTCAACTTTTGTCCTTCACACTCACAGATTCAGATAACACCCGTCTTTTATGCTTCCAGTCGAAACAAACAGTTGAATAGAATTTGTTTGCTTGAAAATGAGGTGTGAACATACATTAAACTTTGAAAAATCCGTTTGAAAGGCAAAACTTCAAGTATTTAATTTATTTCTTTCTTTTATTTCTTCTTACTTCTTGCGTACATCACCAAATTGCACTTATCACCGAGCTCTGAGGAGTTCTTATCAATAAAGGCATGTATCCCAACTTTACTGATTTCCATTAAGTCTAAAATTTGTGATTTCACAAAAAAAGTGCATTTCCATGCGCTGGCAGCAGCGGCTGGCAGCTATCGTTCCTCTTGCACTACACTCAGCAGTACGATTTTCTCTCAATTGCCATCCAACTTTGACTCAAAAAACTTCATGACTAGGCTTCTAGAGGTGCTTGGCAGACAAGGAAGACTGATAGAAGCACCAATGTACTACAAAGCGGTAAAGGACTCGGTCGAAAAGGCCACTTCGACTGAACGCCCTTCCGTTGTTAGTTTCTTCTTGGTAACGCTTTGAATCTAGATCTTCCTATTGACACCCTGGGCTGATTCTCTGTCATCTAGTTTTCTTTTGATACAGCACCTTCATAACAATTTGTTTACTGCCATTTAGTGTGTGTTTCTAGTTAATCTTTGTATATCTAAATTCTGAATCATATCTTATCAGATCTTTTATTATGTTCTTAGGTTATGACGCCAATATTCCGATTACTTGCGGAGTTGTGCCAAAATCGACAGCAACGATTGAAATTTGAGATGAGCAGCTGCAGCGCTGTCTTGTTATTCAAGGAAGCTAGCAAAATCATCTGCTCTTATGGTAAGTTTGCGCAGCTTTCAGTTCTGTTTTTAAAATCAAATTATACAGGAAATCAAATCCTAATCATGCCGGATGTTCCAAAGGAACGCGCATATGCGGAGCGATATAAGAATATCGGAATCATTTTCAATGTGTTGAAATGTGCACTCATCGGAGCTTATGT